AAGGAAGGCCTGCCGGTGGTGGTGATCCGGGCAGGAGATGCCTTCTGCAGGTGAGGCCTGGAAGTGGGTAAGAGACCGTGGCAAACATGGTCCTGTACAGGATAGTCCAGTTCCTGAGGCTTTATTTCTTCTTTTTAAAAGCATGTAGTTTCTTTTTTTTTGTTGTAGTTTGGCTGGGGCTGGGTTCAAACCCGCCACCCTCAGTATATGGGGCCGGCGCCCTACCTCCTGAGCCACAGGCACCACCAAAGCATGTAGTTTCTTTTCTTTTGTGCCCAGTGCCCAGTGTTGAAGAGGTGAACAGCATTGATTTCCTGCTTGGGTAGCAGTCTCCTGTGATCTAGCCATGGGTCAGATGGCAGATCTCTGACAGAGAGTTGAAGGTGGAGGTGGAATATCTAGATTGGAGTAAGGTATAGGAGGGATGGGCATTTGGTTGCACCTGGGACATATCTAGGGCAAATTAGAACATTCTGGGAACTCTGGCAAGTTCTCTGTGTGAAAGTTGTTTATCCCCAGAGATGCCTGTTTTCTGGGGGGAGGGGATGGATAGAGGCTTGAAAGGAGAGCTCCAGCCTTCCCTTGGGGAGACCTTTGGATGAGAGCATAGGTGAACTCCCAGAGGAGCTAGGGCATGGGGGTGTTCTATTTTAGCCAGAACTCTTCTGTGGCCTTGTCACATCTTCCTTGGGGTCTGTTTAAATGTCTGATCCATAGCTCCCCACAGAAAGACTAACTCCCACTTTAGATCTCTTAAGGACTAAGTCGCATACTTTTTTGTATAGCATATGTCTGTTGATTGAGTGATGATCTCATGTTTAAATTGGTCTCCAAGAATCTTGGGTTCTGTTCCCCAAAAGAAACGAGAGAAGAACTAAGTAGATTGTTTTCCACAAACTTCCTCATCCATGACCATGTTTGGGAGCCTTGTTGGTTTGGAAGATGAGGTGTGGGCTGTTTGGAAACACATCCTGAGCAAGGCAGGCCCTGCTTCAGCCACCTAGGGGCCTCTGAAGATGATGGCCATGCCTCAGTCTGCTGGGGAGCTCACTAAGGAGAGAAGTTGCAGTGGTTCTAGGTGAGGCTCTTGTGGCCCGTGGGGCCCCTGCTTGGGCCCAGACGTTTCTCTTTCTATGCTCTCTTGGGCTTGGGAATGGATGGAAACCCAACCCTCCAGGTGGGGGTTTTGAATGAGGTTCCCCAGCGATTGTTAAGAACAAGCGCATGCTCAGCTACTTGGGAGGCTGAGGCAAGAGATTTGCTTAAGCCCAAGAGTTTGAGGTTGCTATGAGCTGTGATGCCATGACACTGTACCCAGGGCGACGTAGTGAGACTCTGTCTCAACAACAACAGAAAAGAATAAGCACATGCTGGGAAACTCTGGCCTTGCCTGGCCCCGAGGTACGGTAGCGTGGTTCCAGGAGCCCAGACAGTTTGTGGGTATGAACACTCCATGCTTGAGCCCAGCTGGTATACAGGCAGGTATCCCTCCCCACAGTGAAAAGGAGGTGAGGTGAAGCACTCCATTCCCTCTTAGTGAGACTTCCCACACTATTAGTTTCTGCTCGGTACTTGCTGGACACCTGGAGTCCCTGGACCTGGCATTTGCTGTGAAACGTGGAGTTGCTTCACCATTCTGGAAGGAACCATGGGGTGTGTGTTTGGCTGCTTGTGCATGGGGCCTGTTGGCAGGGATTGCTGCACCTTACAGGGAGGAAGAGATGACTTGGGGCACATCCTTGGGTGTAGGGTGGCCTTCTATGGCAACATTGCTCCCCTCTGTGCTGGGTGCTGCTCTTCACTCTGACTGTCCACTAGGGTTGCAGGGGAGCTTTAAAGTAGATTCCTGGGCCCTGCTCCTGAATTCTGACTCAGGTAGTTTATGGGATTCTGACATCCATCCAAGGCCGAGAACCTCTGACCTGGTGACCTCGAGTCAACTGGAAAGTTTATTAAGAATACAGCTTCCGGCTCGGCGCCTATGGCTCAACCGGCTGGGGCGCCAGCCATGTACACCTAAGGTGGCGGGTTCGAATCCCC